CCTTTTTTTGTAGATCATGAATCTAAATAGACCAAACAAAGTCCCTGTCACAGAACTTTTTATTATTTTTTTTATTTTTATTTTTATGGACCTTTTTTTTTAAAAAAAAAGGTTTCAAATTTATTTATTTATTTATTTATTTTTTTCAAACGGTTTAGCAAACCTTTTTTGTTTGCAGACCATGAATCTAAATAGGCCAAACAAAAGTTTCAAAATTTTTCTTTAGACCATGAAGCCAAACAAAGTTTCAAACTGTTTAGCAGGTCACATATACTGTTCTTCATAAGTCAATTTTTGCAGATGTGCGTGTAGTAGATGCATCATACTTGCATGCTTTGTCATGCATTTAGTTGATTGAAAATAACAAGCTGGATGTGTATTGTGACCTCTGTTTCAATTTTTATTTTTTTATTTTTTTTTAGGTTTCTTCTTGTAAGGTTGTTGCAAAATAGAAAACCTTTCTTCCCATAAAGAGACAGTTCTCTACAGTTCTCTACAGTCTTTTCATAGTAGAGCCTAAATAACAAAGACTTTTCTTGGTTTAAAGAAAAACTTGCTATACTGTTTTTTTTTGTAACAGCAAATACAGATTTTGCTAAACCCAAATATGAACAGACTTTATTATTATTTTTTTTGTTCATTATCGGAGATTTGCAGTAATGGCCCAGAGAAAACACCTCTCTGCATCTGTTTTATGGAGGAGCCCTATTTAAAAAAGATCCCTATTTAGCAGGTCACATACACTGTTCTTCAGAAGTCAATTTTTGCACATGTGTGTGTAGTAGATGCATCATACTTGCATGCTTTGTCATGCATTTAGTTGATTGAAAATAACAAGCTGGATGTGTATTGTCACCTTTGTTTCAATTTTTTATTTTTTATTTTTATTTTTTTTTAGGTTTCTTCTTGTAAGGTTGTTGCAAAATAGAAAACCTTTCTTCCCATAAAGAGACAGTTCTCTACAGTCTTTTCATAGTAGAGCCCAAATAACAAAGACTTTTCTTGGTTTAAAGAAAAACTTGCTATACTGTTTTTTTTTGTAACAGCAAATACAGATTTTGCTAAACCCAAATATGAACAGACTTTATTATTATTTTTTTTGTTCATTATCGGAGATTTGCAGTAATGGCCCAGAGAAAACACCTCTCTGCATCTGTTTTATGGAGGAGCCCTATTTAAAAAAAATCCTTATATTCTTGCAGACCGTGGCCATTAGTTGTGGCTTAAACATGTACCCCGACGAGGGTAGTTCCTTGAATGATGAACTTAATGTCTATGAGGGGAAGGTAGTTAGGGAAAGGATTGTCTTTTTTTTTTTTTCCTTTTTTTTTTATTTGAATCTAATCTAATCAAAGCCTGCCCCCTCGTGATTCGTGCACGTGAATTTTAATTGTGTTTAGTTTTTTTTTTTTTTGAATCTAATCTAATCAAAGCCTGCCCCCTCGTGATTCGTGCAAGTGAATTTTAATTGTATGAATTACGATTTTTTTTTTTTGTGGCAATTAGTTTATGTCTTTTTCCCGCTTTTGCAGGCAACACGCAAGGCGTCAGAGTTTGTTTGCAGGTATCATTGCCCTTTCCAACCTAATGGCAATGAGTGGCTTGAATCCTTGGCATTGATTGTGTCCTTCACCCCAATGGGTTGAATCCTTGACAGTAACCTTGGCAGTGATTGCGTCTTTCACCCCAATGGGTTGAATCCTTGGCAGTGAATGTGTCCTTCACCCCAATGGCTTGAAACCTTGGCAGTGATTGTGTCTTTCACCCCAATGGGTTGAATCCTTGGCAATGAATGTGTCCTTCACCCCAACGGCTTGAACCCTTGGCAGTGATTTTGTCCGTCACCCCAACGGCTTAAATCCTTGGCAGTGATTGTGTCAGTCACCCCAACGGCGTGAATCCTTGGCAGTGATTGTGTCCGTCACCCCAGCGGCTTAAATCCTTGGCAGTGATTGTGTCCGTCACCCCAACGGCGTGAATCCTTGGCAGTGATTGTGTCCGTCACCCCAACGGTTTGAATCCATGGCAGTGATTGTGTCCTTTCACCCCAATGGGTTGAATCCTTGGCAGGGATTGTGTCCTTCACCCCAACGGGTTGAATCCTTGGCAGTGAATGTGTCCGTCACCCCAACGGTTTGAATCCTTGGCAGTGAATGTGTCCTTCACCCCAACGGTTTGAATCCTTGGCAGTGAATGTGTCCTTCACCCCAACGGCTTGAATCCTTGGCAGTGAATGTGTCATTCACCCCAATGGTTTGAATCCTTGGCAGTGAATGTGTCATTCACCCCAATGGTTTGAATCCTTGGCAGTGAATGTGTCATTCACCCCAATGGTTTGAATCCTTGGCAGTGAATGTGTCATTCACCCCAATGGTTTGAATCCTTGGCAGTGAATGTGTCATTCACCCCAATGGTTTGAATCCTTGGCAGTGAATGTGTCATTCACCCCAATGGTTTGAATCCTTGGCAGTGAATGTGTCATTTCACCCCAACGGGTTGAATCCTTGGCAGTGATTGTGTCCTTCACCCCAACGGGTTGAATCCTTGGCAGTGAATGTGTCCTTCACCCCAACGGTTTGAATCCTTGGCACTGAATGTGTCCTTCACCCCAACGGGTTGAATCCTTGGCAGTGAATGTGTCCTTCACCCCAACGGTTTGAATCCTTGGCAGTGAATGTGTCCTTCACCCCAACGGTTTGAATCCTTGACAGTGAATGTGTCCTTCACCCCAACGGCTTGAATCCTTGGCAGTGATTGTGTCCTTTCACCCCAACGGCTTGAATCCTTGGCAGTGAATGTGTCCTTTCACCCTAACGGCTTGAATCCTTGGCAGTGATTGTGTCCGTCACCCCAACGGCTTGAATCCTTGGCAGTGATTGTGTCTGTCACCCCAATGGTTTGAATCCTTGGCAAGGGGCTTTCGTCAATTTCTTTATATTATGACATTTTGCCTTCACTAACCTTTTTTTTTTTTTAGGAAGCATGGAAAAGAGACTTGAATATCTTCGTCGTGACGAGAGAGATGTATTGGATAAATCTGGTCCGAAAATAATTCGGCAAAAACCTATCATTGCTTTATTGTCACCTACCGAGTTGGACCCCTACATCCCTTTACATACGGCTTCCGAAGACTTGATCTATACAGGAATTCAAAACTGCTGTGAGATTCTCGAGAAAGGGCACTCCAAATCAATTGGTTCATTTCCTGTCTCAATCCTTCGTCCATTTTCTGAAGACCTTCACTGCTCTGAATTTAATACTCTTCTTAAGAGAATGAAGCATGAAAGACTGAAATGGGATAATTCTTTTAATGTCCGCGGCATTTCTACCTATTTGCAATCCCCTATATGGATTTTTTGGTTGAATGACGTTCATTCCTCATTTGCCCCTATTTTGAAGAAGTGTGGGATTTATACTGCAATCTATGTATCCCAATTTGCTTATGCTAGGAATGTTTCCCTCCTCAAAGGATTCTTAGAGCGGTGGTCACCCGACACCAACACTTTCCACACCATTTACGGCGAACTTGGGATCTCTTTATGGGACCTCCATCACATTAGCGGGCTCCCCATTTGTGGCGAGTTTTATGAAGAGTTCACCCCCTCCAATGACATTTTATATTCGTCCCAGACATCCAAGGCGTGTCGTGGGCTTTTCAACATTTATGCCAGCTCTTGTCAATCCAGGAAGTTTAACCACTGGACTTTCAAATTCATTGACGAATCCCCAACTTCAATTAGTGGTTTTCAACGAAAAGATAGAATTCCTGATGATGTGTATCTTTCAGGTTTTTTGACAAGCTGGCTTAGCGGATTTGTCTTCCCTCACTCTTCTGGGGAAATTCGTCCGACGACCTTTCATGTAGCCACCAAAATGGCAGGTGGAACCTTATTTAGCCTGGCCATCCTCGTCCTTGCATACCTCTATCATTCTCTTGGTAAAATGGCATCATCATCTTCACCTGGGAAGGAAAATATTCAGGGTCCTTTACATTACCTTTTTGGATGGATTTCACTATATTTTGTCAAGACTTACTCTCATGGGGATCCTCAGTCGATTTGTCCGATTCCTGATATTCATTTCATGCCATATCTTGGGTTTATTGGAAACCAATCGGCTGCCCAGTTTTTTACTGATAAATTTCCATTTGTGGACTCTCTCCTAACTTATCGTACGGAGTGTCAGTTTAGGGCTCTTACCCATGAAGGTGAACCTTCAGGCATTCTGGTCGACTCTGAAAGGATATCACATTTCCACCTTAGCTATCTTATATCTTTGAGGCAAGGGATTTTAACTTTTAAAATGGGATTTAATTTCATTTCTGAACCGTACTCCCCTAACCGATACGGTCGTCAATTTGGATTTGCTCAAGCATGCCTTATACCACTTAATGTATCTTGTCGGCAGCCCTCTGAGTGGTCTAAATTTTATTACAACTGGCGCCATATGCTACCTGCGGTACAAAAGTCTCATTGGAGTTACCAGGATCCCGATCTATTTCTCACGTAACCATGCCTTATGCCAATTGGTGGTTGGGAACTTCCTTTACCGTGCTCCAATATGTTACTCATTCCCAGCCGAAATCTTCACGCAAGAGAAAACTGGATATGCCAATTAAAGACCGAAAGACGAAGAATCCTTCTTACTCTAGAGCTAGGTCATCATCTTCACCTATTGCTCTGGAAGCATCATCACCTCGGAAAATGGATAATAATCGACCACTTATTGCTCCTTCTCGGTCTAGTTACTTGGTTTCAGATCTCCTTCATCTTTTCGAGGATATGTGTAATTCTCAATTTAAAATGAGATTTAGCTTTGAGCAAGTAGATTCTGGCCCTCAATTTGCTTGTCTCGAAAAGCTTTTTCCAGAGACTATGTCTATCAGTGATTGTACAGGAACTTCCCAACCCACCGTAGCGACCAAAACCCTAATGGATCAATTTCGCACATACTTGTACTCTTTTCTTGAAGATAAAGATGAGAATATGATTCAAGAACTCTTTGAGGGAGATGGGTATGAATTAACTGCCTTGGGTCGTATTCGCATTAAGAGTGTTGAAATTCCTTCTCCTACCAAATCTTTTGATTGTTCTCTCAATGGAAGTAGCGAGAGTGAAGATGAGTTTTATGACTACACCCCTCTTTTAGATGGCACACCGACTAAGATGAGTAAATCGCCTTCAGCAAATGTAGCTTTTCCTTCTCCTTCGAACGAGTCATCCAAGCTATTAGAGAAAGGTATAATTCTCTTTTTTATTATTATTATTATTATTTTTATTATTTTTATTTTTTTATTTTTTTAAATACCTTTCATTTTCTTAGGCACTGCGCCTCGGACTTCCCCAGCTGCATCGCATATGCCATTGGCTACCTTTAAGGGTATTTTTATTCATTCCTTGTACCTCATTTTATTTCATCATGTATAGATACTCAAGGAACTCTTTTCTCTTTAGATCATGCCACATTGCAAAATCCATAGTCCACTTGTGGGAATCACAACTTGTCTCCTCCACCTAGGTCTCTTCAAGCCGTACACCAAGGTATACTTCATTCATCTATATACATATATATTGTTTTTACCTTCCACGTTTTCATTGAGTATCTCCTTCTATTTTCACAGAAAATACTTCTGACACATTGGAAGAGACAGACGAAATTACTTCTGATACCTCGGAAGAGGCCCAAATTCTTGCAGACTTACTTGAAGCAAATGGGGTTAACAAATTATTTGACAAACTTGAAGCACCCTTTGCTCCATCTAACCTCCTTTTGGGAACTTCCTCTAACGAAGCAGCCACCCATATTCAGAAAGGTCTTACTATTTCTCTCCAGTCAATGACGGATGTTAATGGCATGATTGCTATAGCAAACAACGTTTTCATGATTTTGAAGAGTTTGGGTGTAGACTTCATCTCCTTTTATGAGAAGGTGAAGATATTCCTTAGGTGCTTTTCTTTGAAAACCCAACTTGTAGATTCTTCAAACTTGTCTACTGCAGAATTTGAGGCCCAATATTATAAGAAGAAGCTTCATTTCGACAAAGTTTTTGGCGAACATGAACAGTTGTCTGCTTCAATTATCAAGTCAGATGAGCACATAGCGGGTCTTAATCAAAGGATTATTCAAACCAAAGAGTTACTCAAACAACTTGAAGAGGAATTGTCATCCACCCAAGCGGAACATGCATCCTTTATGTGTGATTTTGCACAAGCTTCTGAGAGTGTTTCTGAATCAGAAGAAGACGTGCAAACTGCTCTGAATGTTTTGAGCCAACACAAGAAGAAGAATGGACAACACAGTATTGTGGAACGTGCTTTTGAAAGGGCCAAGACTTCTCTTAATGAATGAATGCACTTTTTTTTTTTTATTCATCCGAACATAATGTATTTATGAAATTTCGCTCAATGATAGATTTATTTGTTACATGAAATTTCTCAATACAATACATTGATTTGTCTTACTTTAGCCGTTTATAGTTTATACTTTTGCTGGCTAGGAGTATCCAATGTTTTACCACCTTAGATTTCGGTGGGATATTTTAGCAATTTAACTACATACAATACCGTTGGTGGTTTTTTACTTTTGTTTGGCCGTACACAGTTTATATTCTTGCGGGCCAGGAGTATCCAATGTTTTACCACCTTAGATTTCGGTGTGATATTTTAGCAGTTTAACCACATACGATACCGTTGGTGGTTCTGACCTTTGTTTGGCCGTACACAATTTATATTCTTGCGGGCCAGGAGTATCTAATGTTTTATCACCTTAGATTTCGGTGAGGTATTTTAGCAGTTTAACCACATACAATACCGTTGGTGGGTTTTTTTTTTCTTTTTTTTTTTTTGCCCTAACTTTTGCCTAGGCCGCCCTTTCGGGTTTTCAACCTAGCAGGCTTTCTTAAGGGTAATATCTCTTCAAGAACCTTGCATTGGTTGGGGGAATGATTCTGTCACCATCCATTGTTATCAACAAATAGGCCCTATTAGAATAAACCTTCTCAATCACATAAGGTCCTTCCCATTTGGGCTCAAGCTTTCCTTTGGTTCTTCGTGAGACTACTATGGGTGTTCTAAGCATTAGTACCAAGTCTCCCTTTTTAAAGGAACGAAGCCTCACTCTTTTATTGAATGCATTTGCCATCCTTTGTTGGTAGATTTCCAAGTTCTGTTGAGCATACAACCTTTTTTCATCCTGGGTCTCCAGCTCAGCCAACCTCACTCTTGCACTTTCATCTTCTGTTAAGGACTCTTGTATTGCCACTCGTAATGATGGTATTTGAACCTCAAGTGGTAACACTGCTTCTCCTCCAAAAACCAACGAATAAGGGGTTGCTTGAGTAGGAGTTCTATGCGAAGTTCGATAAGCCCACAAAGCTTCTTGTAACTTTTCATGCCAAGCTTTTTTGTTCTTATCCACCATCTTCTTAAGAATTTTGCACAATGTCTTGTTGAAAGCTTCTGCCAAACCATTGGCAGGTGCATGATATCTTGATGAATGGTTGTTTTTGATTTTGTACTTGGCAAATAACTTGTTCAAAGCATCACTCCTGAATGGCTGTCCATTATCCATGATGATACTTTCTGGAATCCCAAACCTGTAAATGATATGGGTTCGGATGAACTCGGAGACAACTGTGCTTTTTATATCCTTTAAAGCCACAGCCTCTGCCCATTTTGAAAAATAGTCAGTTGCAGCTAGGATGTATCGATATCCTGTTGAAGATGGAGGTACAAAAGGACCAATAATGTCCATACCCCATGCTGCAAATGGCCAAGAACAAGTTGTTAAATGTAAAGGCTCTGGGGGTTGGTGGAGAAAGTTCCCATGGAATTGGCAGACTTGGCATCTTCGAGCATAATTTATGCAATCTGCAATCATAGTCGGACAATAGTATCCCAACCATTTTAGCTGCATATCCAATTTAGGACAACTTTGGTGTGCCCCACATACACCTGCATGTATTTCTTCCATTACCTCTTGAATACGCTCCTTGGCTATACACCGCACGAACATTCCATCCAAAAACCTTTTGTATAACGTTCCATCTTTCCACAGGACGAATTTGGTAGCCCTGCGTCTCACTTCAATTCTTTTTACTTTATCTTCAGGTAGCCTACCATGTTGGAGGTAAGCTATGAATGGTTCTCGCCAATCCTCCTCGTTTTCTCCTTTCGTGGTGACAACCAAGATTGGAACCAAGTCAGAAACCTCTTTTAAAGGTTGTGTAGACGTCCCCGAACGCCCCGGGAGGAACGAGTCCCGTTCCGTTCATTTGGGGTTACTACAGCTCGGACTCTCAAATTGTCACGGTTCTTAATCTGAACCAAAGAGTCCAAATCTGGCAAATCGTTTTGAGAAAACAGATTTTTAGAAAGAAGTGCCAAACATGGACTGCTTTGCCAGATACAGAGTCGCCACCTAAATATTTTATTTTGAAAAATTTAGGAAATCCTGACTCGTTGCCTAAGGCCACGTGTCCGTCATCACCAAAGTTGCCTCGGCATTAAAATAGAATTTTTTTTAAATTTTTTTTTATATGGGATTCTTTGATTAATTTAGGTTTCCTTTTTTTTCTCTAAACAAATTATGTTACTAGTTCTTATGGTTTGCCTTTTGTATTACTTTGGTTTTTATTGTTATAACTGCATTTGATTTACCTATCAATTTTTTTATATCGATAATATACTTCAAAAATTGAATTGAAATGAATGAATAAAATAGTTCATTCACTCTAACTCTGCCATGGGCGGGATAA